ATCCATCACAACCCCCATCAGCATAGGGCCTAGCATCTGCAGGTAGCCGTACTCATTCGGGTCCAGCGCATCGTCATTGTCCTCGTGCTTGCCTGTCGTAAACTTCGTCTTGCTATCGCCCAAAAAGATGCCAAGCAAGATCATGAGGAACGAAATCAGTGTCGAAAAGGCGCAGTAGCCCTGCATGCGGGCCTGCATCCTGGTCTCCTTGTCAAACTGCACGCTTTGTCCAAGAGCCAAACCCATCGCGGCAGCAAACATGATGCCAAACGTAATGAACACCTGGAACAGAACGCCGTCCACTCCAGAGAGCTTCGGGTGGGCGTTCTGGTCGCAATACATGGGGCAGACGACGCACACAACACCGATTGCAGCGCCAATCAGCAGACGACCAGCACACAGCACCCAAAACTCATTCGTTGCCGAGGAAACATGGTACAGCACAGAAGACACAATGCCGGCGATGCCAATAACCAGAAACGACACCTTGTGACCAAACTTCGCAACAAAATGCCCGGCGTAGATCGACCCAAGCATGCAGCCAAGAATCATCGCACCAGCAAAGATACCATTGTAGGACGCGCTATAGCCAACCGGGTTCTTGCACTCCTTGTCGCCGTACATCCACTTGCACCTGTCGTCCGCGAGGCATGCAGCCTCATCCTTACCGTGACCCCAATAGCAAGTGAAGCCCTTCCAGCCACATTTCCCTCGCGTTGCGTTCCACGCACATTTCGCGTTCAACACAGTGTCGCAGGCTGTCTGCGACTCGTACATTGAGCAGTCAGTAGACATCAAATACATATAGGCATACACTGCAACGAAGCCAATCGAGAGCCCGTTCATTGTCCCGCCCACCGCCTGCACCTGTGCAACCTTCATATTCTCCATCGACCAGAATGCAGGAGCCTCCTCCTCTGCTGGGGGCAAAACGTTTCGTTGCCGTTCGTCCGCCGTGGGATACGCATCAGGAGCCGCCGCCATTCCTTCTTTTGTGTGTATTCCGCTTGAGCACTCTTTCTCCTCAGTCTATACGTTTTTGCCCCCACACGAAACAAAACCAAAATAACAAACAAAAGAGGAGGAGTATAGTAGACATGAAGGGAGCACAACAGCGAACTCCACGGAGGCGGTGCACGGCAGGTATGAAGACCGTGTTTCTTTCGGGGCATCCGCGGTGCCTGTGCCGCACCCGCATCGCCCTTCATCACATCTTGAAAATCCGCAAAGACACAACAAACAGTTATGTGGGACTGCGCACCCGCAATCCATTAAAGAAGCACCTTCTCCACCATGCTGGTAAGTCATCATGGCAATAAGGGGCCCCGTTGTCGGCACAAACACACACACACACACACATAAAAAAAAAGCTCTTTCCCTTAGCTCAATGTGCCCCGGAGTTTTGAACATGCCAGGTCGAGTGGCAGGCACTGGTTCATCCTCTTTCAAAACAAAAAAAAATTGGCTGTCTGCAAGGTCACCATTCGCACCACCACAAGCCATCGCCTCAGCAAGACACAACAAAGCCTCCCATAAGTAAACGAATTCATCATTCCTCAAACACAAAAAAGCCCCATCAACACTCTGAAAAGGCGGAAAAAAAAATGAGAAACAAAAAATAGAATAAAAAGTAAAAAAAAGTAAATCATAAAATAAACAAAAACGCCTGCTAATAAAAAAAAAAAAACATACAAAAACAAAAAAAAGAAGGGAGGAAGCTGAACTGCCGCCTTTCTCTATCCGTTGTCACGCGTCCACCACACTGGGCGACGAGTGCCGTGGTAATGACGGCTGCCCAAAGACCGTCAGCAGCAGCGCCGTCCTGCCCCCTCGTTTTGCTATTTGGACAAACAAACAAAATAACAATAGTATACATATATATATATATATATAGATGTATCTCCCTCCCCAACGGCACCACGCAACGCACTCACGCGGCTTACCGGTTACCAGAAGTGGTTACCTTAGTTGGCGGCTACTGCTCTGGTGGAGCGGGGCCTTCGTCGGTGTCGCCGCGGCCCTGAGGTGCCTTCTCTTCCCACGGAAACAGGAAAAACACCAGCACGACGAAGCAAACAAAGCCAACGCAGCCAAAGAAGATGAACGCGGTCGCCTGGCCCTTGTCCTGGTTGCCGGACGGACCACCAGAAATGCCCTCCGTCGCGATTGGGTAGCAGACGTTGATGATGATATTGCAGAGAAACTGTGCCACCATCACGACGGATGAACCCTTCGGACGGAACGAGCGCGGGAAAAGCTGCTGAGAAAGCACAAAGAAGCACGGCCCAAGACCAAACTCAAACGCAGCGATGAATATGGCAATGCCAGTAATCGCAACACCGTTCTTCACGTTGGTACTGGCAACGCCGGGGTACACGGGGATCCCGCACAGAAACAGACACGACACCGACGCCGCAAGTGTGGCACCAAGAAACATCTGGCGCATCGTGAAGTACCAGGCAAGTGGAATCGCAACAAGTGTCGTCACAAAGTTCCATAGCATCACCACAAAGTTACCCACAAGAGGCACCATCCCCAAGTTGCCCATGATCGTCGGCGCATAGTTCATCACGGCATTAATGCCGGTCAGCTGCGTCGTTGCATCCATC